AGTGTGTGCCAAGGTTTTGGCTGGATTGAGATGTTGTTTACTCGTTAGGCTAGGCCGTCCGACTGTAGGCATACCACGACTAGATTGCAGTTGTTAGAGTTGTCCTGGAGGAAGACGTACTCAGGAGCAACGATCTTTCAGGCTGGTCCAGGTGGGAGATGCAGTTGGGACGAGTGGTTTTTCGCCCGACATTCATGGCAAGGACTGCCCGACGTACTGTGGAGTCTTGCATGTTTGAGGTTGGACGCTAGGGAGCAGACCTAGATTGTAAAGTTTTGGACTCATCAGGCTAGGCCGTCCGGCTGTAGGCAGGCCACGACTAGACTGCAGAAGTTAGAGTTGTCCTGGAAGAGGATCACGTACTGAGGAGCAATGATCTGTCAGGCTGGTCTAGGTGGAAGATGCAGTTGGGATGAGCGTTTTCTTTGTGTTTTGTGATAGTGATTTCGCCCGACAGTCAGGACATGGACTGCCCGACGTACCGTGGGGTCATGTGTGATTGGGGTCGGACGCTGGGGAGTAGACCCGGACATGGATAGTGATTTCGCCCGACAGTCAGGACATGGACTGCCCGACGTACCGTGTGGTCATGTGTGCAAACCGGTTGATGTTTCCACCAAGATTCTCACAACTTGAATTTTGTTTACAGATGGAGCATGCGAAAATGTGGCATCAGTGGGTGGAGTTTTGATTTGCCCGATGGGGCGAGCTGTCGCGATGTTTGGAGACAAATTGCCAATTGAATTCGAAAGATTTTTCTATCGAGAATCTTCGCATCCCATCTACGGAGTCGAATTGTTGCCTTTGCTTATTTCAATCATGCTGTGGGGCTCCCTTGTAGACAAAGCTCAGTTTGTCTGCTATCTGAACTCGATGCAGCCAGAGCAGGGCTCATCCGAGGGTCCGGAGCCACCAAGCTTGCTGATGGGATCATTAAATTGTTTTGCGAGTTTGAAGCCGTGTTGCAACTGAAGTCGTGGTTTAGCAGAGTGCCATCACACAGCAACATAAGTGATGGGCTGAGCCGTTTAGATTTCAGGCTATTGCTATCACTTGGTTGCCTCAAGGTAGACGTGCCTTGGGGTGAGATCGTGTCAAAGGTTTCGTCACGCCTGTCTTGAATGGGGCGATGGATGGCGGGGCGTGGACGGATGCTCCCCATTTGCTGTGTTGAAAAAGATTGGCCCTGCGTTCGACTTCAGCTGACACAATCGTTTCAATTTTCAAAAGTTGTTTTCGTTTTGGTTGTTAAGTTTTCGCGTCGGACTTCTAGTTCTTAGGATGTTTGCGAAGCGGTTCAATCTATGGAAATAAGTTTTACTCCCGTAGGGATGAAAACCTTATTTCCAATTTTTGAAAACTCGACTCTTTGTTTGAAAAACAAGAGTTAGCTGTGGCAAGCGTCTTGAACTGGCAACTGCGTGAAAAACAACAACTCACAAAACAAATTTTGAAACCACAATTTTCAGACAACTAAACTCAATCCCGAGATGAGTCAGTTGTAATTTTATGTTGCATGTGCAACATTATGGCTTAAGGGTGTGGTGGGAGGGTTCCTCCTGTTGTTTTGTTCTACATGGTAGCAAAACTCCCACCCTTCTTTTTCCCAACCCTTTTGCCAATTTTTATCCTCACCTCATACATATATGAGGCCACACCCTCAGCCCTGATGGCGGGGCGTGGACGGATGCTCCCCATTTGCTGTGTTGAAAAAGATTGGCCCTGCCTTCGACTTCAGCTGACACAATCGTTTCAATTTTCAAAAGTAGTTTTCGTTTTGGTTGTTAAGTTTTCCCGTAGGACTACTAGTTCTTAGGATGTTTGCGAAGCGGTTCAATCTTTGGAAATAAGATACCGCCCTCGACGCCGAAGAGAAAAAACCTCTAACCAAGGCACACAACATTGCATATAGTCTTTTCCCAAATGTGCACCGTGACAGATATAGAAGATGTTCTCGAATGGGACATGTTGAACATGTTTCGGTTTGTCTGCTAAAGCTGCCGTTGATATTGATTGCCACGCTGTTATGTTTTGCCAGCTCACCAACGAGTCATGAGTCACTGCATACTGCATCGTTAGTTGCCCATGCGTGTTGTTGCTGTCTGACTTGCCTGACCTGCCAGGTACCTCTGCGAAGCTCGTTCACCAACCTCCTGCATTCGCCAAGCGCCTATCGTCGCTGCTACCGGCCCTATGGTGTATGCGAGTAGATTAACGCGCCGTGCAAAAATCTCTCGTCGCTGCTACCAGGCTTGCGGTGCAAGCGAGGCAATTCGCCAAACGCCTGCAGCAGACCGTCCGCTCTCATGACGGTCTGCGCTCTGCGCGCACTGCTTGGCCACATTGCGCATGGTGCCAAGACCGGCCGTTGCCATTCACCTATACACATGGTGTTGGCATACTGGTTTTGGCTACCTACATACATACATACATAAATACATACATACGTGCATACATACACACATACATACATACGTACATGCATGCATGCATGCATGCATGCATGCATACACACACACACATACATACATACATTTACATTTACATTTTTACATTTACATTTACATTGCATTACATTACATCACATTACATACCATCTTCGTCACACACCATCTTTCTTTGTCACACACCATCTTTCACATACAACTTTGTCCCACACAACGTTTTACCCACATCTTTGTGTGGGGTTCTTGTTTTTGGTTGGGCACTCCCGCGCTCATTCCTTCCTCCTTCCTCCCGCCGCCTCCCCTCCCGCCGCCTCACACGCAACTTCCTCACACGCCACTTGCTCACACACAACTTGTCCACACACAACTTGGCCACACACACAGCTTACTTCCACTGACAACTTCCCCACACACAACTTGTCCACACACAACTTCTCCGCACACAACTTACTCACACACACAACTTCCTCACAGACAACTTACCTCACACACCTTCCTCACACTGGGGGGGTAGCACCTTGTAGTAATTCGATGTAATTTTCCCATAACTTGTTGTGGTACCTAGAATTGATCCTACTACCTTTGGACATCCAGGATTTTTCACCACACTATCTTTCACACACAACTTTGTCACACACCATCTTTCTTTGTCACACACCATTTTTCACATACAACTTTGTCCCACGCAACTTTTCTTACTTCTCGATCCTTCAGCACTTCCTTGTCTTTCCTTCCTTCCCCGTCCCGCTACAACATTTGTTGCTAATTATTGGAAAAAATTGACATGTCGGGTTTTCCGGTCCTTTAATTTGTTTTTTTTACCTCTTGGTTTAACTTATTTTCTTTGAATCGTTGAGGTAGGTCCCCAAAATTCATTGTTGGCATTTTTTTTTGTATGACACCAACTCGACAACGTGTCCAAAACCATGCGTTCGCATTTTGTTAAACGATTCATACGCACATCGTTATTAATATTCACACCACGTTACATGGTTCGGTCCCCAAAAGTGGCCACGACACAAAATAGATGTTGTATACAGGGATGGTGCAACCCATATGTGATTTTTTTTTGCCATGGCTGATACTTCTCGGATTTTATTCAAACATAACCAATCCGCATTTTTCCACCCGGCAGTAAACGGCATTCGTGCTTGACTTTCCGCTTCGTTGCATGAGGTTCAAACCATTAAATGGTTGCGTCGTGCAATTAAAAACACAGGTGCATTTTGAGATGCATGATGTAACACAATATGTTGCATTCCCCAAACAGTTGTGTGTTGAAACACAAATCACTCAAAATCACTCAAAAAAATGAACAAATACTGTTTTTTGCATAGCAAACTGCATTTTTTGTGCGCAAAATCCTTGGTGTCATGTCGTTTTGACCAACCAATGTGGCCGTTGCTGCGGATCCCATCCTGCGTTCGCGTTCGCGGCCCCAAAAATTTGCGGCGCTTTGCCACGTCAAACAAGCAGGTGCTGCACCAGTGCTGGTGTTTGCCATTACAAATCCAAGTGAGGCACTTAGAAATGGTAACAAAATTTGACCAGAATCACATTTTTAAATACATGGTCACATGGTGCTTGGGGGTAAATAATCCCATCAACCATGACGCATAATCCTGTTTTTTTTCCAATGCAATTCTCGTGAAATTTTGCACATGTACTATGGAATTGAGTCTTTAGCCATCCTTTGATCACCCCAAAACTCTGGTTTCCCAGCAAAACTGACGTTTGACCCAGAACCGTGGACTTGCAATTCTATGAAACCACCTTTGTGTTTGGATTTATCCCAACCAATCAATTGGGTGAAACTCGCAGGCAGCCGAAAAACGCCGCGTCAAGGACCCTTTTTTTCCCCAGTGGCAGATGGAAAAGACAGGGCACAAACTGGTACGTTTGAAACTTTGGAGGTTAGATTTCCTAGCCCCTGCATTTTTGACAACAAACGAACATAAAATTAAGGTTTGGAATGCCCCAGAACTTAGTGGTTGATCATCATTTCGTGTTTGAACCTTGTGATTTTTTTTCGGATACGCCACTTTGGTAAACACCCTTAAACGTATTAAACCGGCCCCAATGTACTTTTCCACGAAATGACACCGTTGGTTTTGGACAAAATTGGGAAAGGTCTCGGATTCGACTCATTTGTAAAATTTGAAGGATAGAACTGGCGCTTGAAATTTGCTGTCCATGCTTGCTACTTGTTGTTTCAACTAACCATGGTCCGTGGCTTGATCCTCTTACTTCAAGTCATTTCAACTCCAATACAAGATCGAATTTCTTTGCCATTTTGCTGGTCAGATCCTTCTGATCAGTGGTTAATTGTGCTTGAAAAAAATCGTGGAAAATGTCTTAGAATAACTCAATTTGTCAATGACTGCATACCATCTGATGGTGGAGAGCCTGATTTTACAATATTTTGAGGGATGAACTGATGAACATCCATAAATCCCAGCTATGAAATGGTGAAATGGTGTGAATGAACAACTATAGTTTCTCCCAAAAAAGTTATGGTTTGGGTTTCGCCTTTCCGAATTTCCCGTGTTCCAGGAGGCTGACCGGAGGGCCACTTGGAGATTGGAAGAATGATGAGGATGATGATGATGATGATGATGATGATTCATTAGAAGTGGGTCAGACCCAAATCAGGCACTGAACCCACATTCTTTTTGGGGACCAAGTGGGGGGATCAACTTAGGTTTGAGGACTTGGACATGAGCGGAAGGGTGAGTATAGAAGAGTGGACCAACACAAAACATGGATAAACAACTTTACAGCAGTTGAAGTCAACATCTTTTTGGAATTCGTAACCATTCGTAACCCCTTAGCTTAGCTTGAGAGTTTTGACGTCCAAAGTCATCCCAGTCGTCTCAGCGCCTACGCCAAGGAGAGGCCCTTTGCAGAGCGTGGCTTCCAAAATGCCCGGGACCGGCCGCGCGAGCGATCCTACTTTCCCTTCCAGGCAGAAGCCAGATCTGTAGGGCTCATTTAAAGCCCGGTTTTTTGTGATGTTAGGAATCCATCAAAATGGGGGTTCTACAATTCTAGCCTGCGAAAGACGTGACCGGCTTCGCTGAAGCAAAGCCGCGAGCCGAGTGGATTGCACTTGTGTTTTACCAATCCAGGAAGAGATCTTGGAACTTCCGGGCGGTAGGAAGCAGGCGCTTTTTTTCCATTTTTTTTTTGGAAGCTGCTGGCTTGTGCCCTCAACAAATCATTTGCGATCTCTGTTTATATCGGGAACGGAAAGGATTTCTGACGGTTGAATCATTTGGTTGAAGGTGATTGCAGTCGGAGCTGACAAAGTTGATGAGTTTTTTGTGCTGAATCCCAATCCTGCCATATCCAGCCTCCTTGCAAAGGTGCAAGTGGTTGCATCCAAACGAGATGTAGATGGATATTTGGAGGCCTTCTACACTGCCACTTGCTTATTCGCAAACATTTTGGGGCTGAAAATATGAATCACCTGATAGCTGCCACACAGCTAGTGCACTAGTGGTTGCTTGCCGTGATGCACAATATGCATGTGTTTGTGGCACGCTTTATCCTCTGCCTGTGTGCTGAGGCTCTGGTGCCCCATCTTCCTTGCTAGCTTTTGTCACTTCTCCTTCTCTGCAAGTTTTATGAATTGGTTGCCACATGCTGCTGTTTTCTCTCTCTCTCTCTTCAAACTTCAAACATAACATCCAAATACATCCTAACACACAGATTTTGACCTCTTTTGGTATCTGGATCACTTTTGGGGAGTCCAGTTTAGACTACCAAATAGCCGGGCAAACTGATCCACGGCCGTGGGATGACCCAGCCAGGCACAGCTGGTGTTTCAAACTCCCACGGGCAATCGCCTCTTCCATTTGAACCAGGAGGACCTCGAAAACGGAGGGGTCATGACGGTCATACCATCGGAAGTTGGAAATCAACATCCATCATGTCTGAAAATGGTGATTTAATCGGATTTATATAATGGAATTCATGATATATATATTATATGCCGCATACATAACAACTGCAGCTGACCATTTGACTGGCCCTGGTGTAGCCATGACACGCTGGCCCTGCAAGGAGCTTGGGGAGTTAGAGAAGTTGGCGCCCAGGTTGAGCGAGTACCTAGAACTGTACCAGCTGAAGGTGGACGGGAAAATGGGAACGGCAAGCCACGGAATTGGGTTTGCTGAAGAAACCATGGTTTACATCCCAAAATCAGATAAAATCAGGGGGACCCATGGTTGTAACTCAAAAATTCGCGAAATTTTCAGAAATTGGGACTTCGCCAACAGAACATGGCCGCAATTTTCTGGCTTTTCCCATTGCCAGGCCCAGGAGGCAGCTGAGGGTCAGGCGGAGGAGGATCTTTCCAAGGCCCTGGAGGGAGCGCAGGTCCAGCGTTTGAGCGAATGAAAAACCATCGTTGGCCCATGGGCCCATGTGAAAAGCTATGGTTTGGAAAGTGGAAATGGTACTTGAAACCACCTAGAAACCAACAAAAAGTCAACCCACATTTTTTAATAATGGATGGATTTGTCTTTGATGTTGTTGTTTTTCTTGTTTTTTTGTTGGGACAATTTTTTTGACATCCCTATTTCTGAAAACAGACGTGCGCGCAACAGTTTCACATTGATGTTTGCGGCGGATTGTGAGATCCGACAAAGACCCAACCAAGCTGGTTGTCTACAGGCACCGCCTGTAATGTTTTTGCGATTCATATCATTTATATCATGGATGTCCGTTTCTAGAGTCGATTTTCCAATTACATATAGGAATTTTCAGCCATGGTTGACTCCTGGAGGGTAGAATCTGAGAAACCAGCAGTGCAGTCGACCAGCGCCTTGCGCTACTGAGAAAAAAAAGATCGCGAGGCTGCGGGGTTGACTTTTCATATGGACCTTTCCCAAAATTGGGTACCCCCAAATCATCAATTTTCATAGGATTTTCATAGAATTTTTCATTATAAACCAACCATTTGGAGGGATTCCTCCATTGAAACCCCGACGTTCACGGATTGTCCACTGGGACCATCAGGCGCTCTGGCTCTGCCAACAAGAAAAGTGACAAAAGAACGAGTTCCCATGTGCCAACAAAAACAACAACCTCAGATGATCCGGGACATTCTCCTGATTTTCTGAAGATTTCACCGGATAGGCTTTCCCTCACGCTACGAAGCGCACGCTATCTTAGCGATGCTCGCTGTCTCCGTTTGGCATTTTTGCCTGGTGCTGGCAGCAGCCGCAGCCTGCAGTGGAAGTTGCGAAGATGGTGAGACCAGCTTGGTGCAGGTTGGATCGTGACCTGTGGAAAGTCTGAAATATCCCAAAAATGAAAAAAGAGTCAGAAGGTCAATGAAGGTGATGGGTTTCTCATTTTTTTCTGAATTTGGTAACGAAATGAAGATGACAAGGTGTGAAAAATCCAGGGTGCCAATCGCCATGATTTGATTTTTTGGTGCAATTCTTGTCACTGTCCAAGCTGATCAACATTCGATTCTGTCGGAAAAGATATGAAATGATGCGGATCATTGTGCTATTTATGTTTGTGTATGCATATATATTCAAAGGACACACACACACAGACACACATTCGTGTCCGTCCCCAATTGGGGAGGCGGTCGCCCACACCATCAAGAGAAGTTATCAATCCTGCTTTCATATGTATCTCAACAAGAAAATGACCAACCTTTTGTTGATGAACCGTGAATTGCATGGCAGCATTGGTGATCAATCTCTAAGGGCACTTCCAGCTAAGCTGGCACTGTCCGGCGATACCTGAAGCCTCAAAAAAAAATAGGTGGCCACAACCAACGTTGAAGGTACGTGAAATTGGGGTCCCCTTTGCATATCGAAAGAGTGAACAGTGAAAGTCTTCATTGCTGCCAGCTTCACTCAATCCCCTGGCACCCTGTGCGACCTTGACTTGGCCATTCAGCTTTACTGAGCATTAACCGAGCCTACACGTCTGCTTGGAATGTCCCTTAACCTTACACATACACAGAAATACATACATACTTATACATATATATAAATATATATACACAGACATACACAGACACACACAGACATACACACATACACACATACCTACCTACCTACATACCTACATACCTACACACCTACCTACCTACTTACCTACCCACCTACATACGTATGCACGCACGCACACACACGCACGCACAGACAGATTGACAGACAGACAGACAGACAGACATACATGACATTACATTACATTACATTACATTACACACATACATATACATACATATACATACATATACATGCAAATACATACATACACATACATACACATACATACACATACATACACATACATACACATACATACACATACATACACATACATACACATACATACACATACATACACATACATACACATACATACCCATACATACACATACATACACATACATACACATACATACACATACATACACATACATACACATACATACACATACATACACATACATACACATACATACACATACATACACATACATACACATACATACACATACATACACATACATACATACCTACATACCTACATACCTACATACATACATACACACATACACACATACACAAACACACATACCTACCTACCTACCTGCATGCATGCATGCATGCATGCACGCATGCATGCATACATACATACATACACACACACAGACACACACACAGACACACACATATACATACATATACATACATATACATACATATACATACATATACATACATATACATACATATGCATACATATGCATACATATGCATATATATACATACATATGCATACATATACATACATATACATACATATACATACATATACATACATATACACACATATACACACATATACACACATATACACACATATACGCACATATACATACATATACATACATATACATACATATACTGTACATACATACGCATACATACGCATACATACGCATACATACGCATACATACGCATAAATACGCATAAATACGAATAAATACGCATAAATACGCATAAATACGCATACATACGCATACATACGCATACACATACGCATACACATACGCATACACATACGCATACACATACGCATACACATACGCATACACATACGCATACACATACGCATACACATACGCATACACATACATATACAGATACATACACATACATACACAGACACATACACAGACACATACACAGACACATACATACACACACATACACATACATACACATACATACACATACATACACATACATACACATACATACACATACATACACATACATACACATACATACACACATACACATACATACACATACATACACATACATACACATACATACACATACATACACATACATACACATACATACACATACATACACATACATACACATACAGACACATACAGACACATACACATACAGACACATACACATACAGACACATACACATACAGACACATACACATACAGACACATACACATACAGACACATACACATACAGACACATACACATACATACACATACATACACATACAGACACATACACATACAGACATACACATACACATACACATACACATACACATACACATACACATACACATACACATACAGACACATACAGACATACAGACACATACAGACACATACAGACACATACAGACACATACAGACACATACAGACACATACAGACACATACAGACACATACAGACACATACAGACACATACAGACACATACAGACACATACAGACACATACAGACACATACAGACACATACAGACACATACATACACATACATACACATACATACACATACATACACATACATACACATACATACACATACATACACATACATACACATACAAACACATACATACACATACATACACATACATACACATACATACACATACATACACATACATACACATACATACACATACATACACGTACATACACATACATACACATACATACACATACATACACATACATACACATACATACACATACATACACATACATACACATACATACACATACATACACATACATACACATACATACACATACAGACACATACATACACATACAGACACATACATACACATACATACACATACATACACATACATACACATACATACACATACATACACATACATACACATACATACACATACATACACATACATACATGCATACCTACATACATACATACATACATACGTACATACGTACGTACATACATACATACGTACGTACATACATACATACATACACATACATACACATACATACACATACATACACATACATACACATACATAGACATACATAGACATACATAGACATACACATACATACACATACATACACATACATACACATACATACACATACATACACATACATACATACATACATACATACATACACACATACACACATACATACACATACATACACATACATACACATACATACACATACATACACATACATACATACACATACATACACATACATACACATACATACATACATGCATACATACATACATACGTACGTACATACATACATACATACATACATACATACACACATACATATACATACATATAGATACGTATGCATACATATACATAGTGTCCTGGCAAGGGACCCCCAAACAGAGTTGCAAGGAACATGAAGAAGGGATGCCAGGTTCGATTCTGTAAATTCCCTTTGTGAAGATCTCTGTAGAAGATCGAGTGTGCGATCTCCTTAGCAGGTTTTGTGTAGAAGCTGCTGCGCAAGATCCCTTTGTGAGGCTATTTGTACAAGGTGTCTACAAGAGATCTCCACAGAAGATCTCTGTAAGAGATGTCAAAGTAAGATCTCCGTCGATCTCCGTTCAAGCTCTCCAAAAGATATCTCTGAATCTCTGTTCTCTTCACCAATTCTTTGTACATTATCCCTATAGGAGGTCTCCGGGTAAGATTGCGGTACAAGCTCTCAAACAGAGCTCTCTTGGCAAGATCTATGTAGGGGACCTCTTGGCAAGATCTTTGCAGCAGATTTTGATGCAATGTCTCCGTACAAGATCTGCAAAAGAGGTGTCCTAGCAAGATCTCTGTACAAGATCGCCGATCGCTATAAAAGGTCTTTTGGCAAGATCTCTTTTTGAGATCTCTGTAGAAGCTCTCTATAAGAGCCGTCTTGGCAAAATCTCTGCAGGGGACCTCTTGGCAAGATTTGCTGGTCAAGAGCTCTGCGCAAAATGTCCTTGATAATCAAACTGAGCACTGCGCAACAGTGATACTTATCTCAACATAAACACAGCGCCACAACGAGAGTGATCTGACAGGCCCAAAGTGCCGAGAGGGTTATGCGAGCAATCTCAAACTGAGCAGAGCGCCACAAGGAGAGCGTTCTGACAGGCCCAAAGTGCCGAGAGGGGTTGAGTGAGCAATTTCAAAATTGGCATCGCGCCACAACGAGAACGATCTGACAGGCCCAAAGCATACATGCACACCTACCTACCTACCTACCTACCTACCTACCTACCTATACCTGCATGCATGCATGCATGCATGCATACATACATACATACATACATACATATACATATATATATATATATACATACACACATACATGCAATTTTACATGCACACACACATATATATATATATATATAGACACACACACATACAAACATACATGCCTGCATGCATACATCAACGCATGCATGCTTACATAGATACGTAGTTTCATACATGCATGCAAAATTACACACACACACATGCATACATACGTACGTACGTACGTACATACATACGTACATACATACATAACAGAACATTACACTACATTACATTACATTACATTGCATTACATGCATACATACATGCATGCATGCATACATACATACATACGCACGTACATACATACATACATACATACATACGTACATACATAGATACATAGATAGATACAGACCGACAGACATTCCTGCACACATACTAGCATACATACATGCATACATAAATACACAGATTCGTAATGCATGCATACATACATGCATGCATACACACACACATACACACACATACACAGATAGATAGATAAATAGATAGGTAGATGGATAGATAGATGGATAGATAGATAGATGGGTGGAGAGATAGACAGATAGATATATAGATGGATAGGTAGATAGATTGATAGGGAGCTGGCTAGATAGATGGATAGATAGATAGATACATAGATAGGTAGGTGGATGGATAGATCGATCGATAGTTAGGTAGATAGAGAGATAGAGAAACATATAGATAGACAGACAGCAGGCAGACAGACAGATAGATAAGCAGATAGACTCATAGATAGGTCCATACACATATACATAAGTACTGAATGTGTGTATGTATCCTTTGTCCGCAACACACCCCAGCTTTTCTGGGTCAACGCTATGTGTCAGGTGGGCCCTGCGGCACATCTTGGCCATTTGGGGCCCCAGAAGGCACAGACTTGTGTGTACGTTTCTGATGGAATATAAACACAAACATGCGGACATTAAAAAATCATTGGCATATTTTTCGTAAATAGTTGGGCAGGATGAAAAGGATCAATAGTAACTGCAGGGATGACAGTGATGATAATGATGATTCCAGCATAAAACAATAATTGTAAGTAATGATACGACCAATGACAATCACGGGGAGGAACCTGTTTTCTTGGAGGGAAACCCGTCCTGAGCAATTCGTATCCCATCCGCTGGGCTGGCCGGGATTTCTGCACATGGATCTGAGGAAGCCTCCAACATGGTTCACTCATGGGTCACAGAAACTTGTCACGGTGCAATCTTTGAACTAATCAAATCCTCTCCCAGGTTTTTTGGGTATGTGTAACCTCTTTTTCCATTTTTCCATATTGTCGGAAGTTTGACGTCTAAACTTCCTTCGAACATTCGATCCATCTACAGTACAACTGCCATAGCCCCAAAACTATGGCAAGTTCTTATCCCACCCGAGGGTCCCACCCGCAGCCCGGTTTGCATCCCCAAAGTTGCAGTGCCCCGTCCCTCAGAGGTGCAGCCTACTTATCATCCAGTAGATGAAAACCATGCAGACAAAACATCCGAATAGTAATAAGATGCTAACTACAGAGAAAACATCACAATATTTATAGATTATCCCATCATTTTTAGATTATCACACCACTAAACAAAGTTCTATAAACCATGTGTACATGGCATAATCCAAGATGAAACCAACAGAACCACAAAACATACCCGGTGCAACTTGAAGAAAATTAAGAAAAAGGAGTACTTTAGGGGTGTTGGAGGGACTTTGAGGTGTGCTGCAAAACTAAATTCAAATCATGTTAAAGATGAAACACTTAGAGGACTTATGTTCACAGGTGATGCTTTGGGTGATCTTCCAAGTAGCCTCCAATATGATGAGTAAATCATGAAATCCCGTTCTGAAGTCTGCCATTAAGTCAACATCAAAAATCACCTCTGCATCGAAATCCCCATGAGATCCCCATGGCTTCATGGCCAGGCCGCCACTCTTGGCTTTACTGAACTTCATCGCTGCGGAAGCTTCAAGGTACTGTCCAGCGACAGCTGCAGCGCCTATGCAGCTGTGGCTCGGTGGTTTAGAAATCGATGCAGAGATGGGTTGTGAAATCGGGGGATTTCAGGGGATTTCAGGATGATTAAATGGTGATGAAATGGTGGTTTTAGTGGCGATTCCATGGGAGTTAGTCGGATTTGAGCAACAACAATGGTGATCTATATGTGATTATTCCACCAAGTAGTGGGATAGTGGGAATATCACCGGAATTATTTGAGGATACAAGGGATATTCCCTCCAGTGTCTGAGAAAACCTCGAACTAAATGGAGGTGTTAGGGATATTTCACCATCAATGCGGGATTTCAATCGAACCATGTTTGATTGGAGGGTACACTACATGCATACATACACATACACACCTATTGAATGATCTTGAATCATTTTGAGCTTTATTGAATCAGTGAATTCTATTGAATTCACTATGCATGTTTGGCAGCTTTCACAGCATACCATGGCGGAACAAACACTTTTCCTGACGCATCTACATATCTGATCAAATCAAATCGGATCGAATCGTTGTCTGTTTGTAACTTATAATCAATCAAGCAAGCAAGCAAGCAATCAATCAATTGATCAAATCAAGTCAAATCAAATCAAATCAAATTAAACAAAAATAAATGAAAGCAAATCAACTCTTTAAATCAAGCAATCAACCAATCAGCCAACGAACCAATCAACCCACCCACCAACAAACCAATCCATCAATCAATCCATCAATCCATCCATCCATCAATCCATCTACCTGCCTGCCTACCTACCTACCTACCTACCTACTTACCTACCTATGTATATATCATCATGTATCCCTACCTTGGTCTATATCTGCACACAATGCTGCCTCTTTTTTTCAGTCCCCTTCGACAAAGACTCGTCCGTCCAGGAATGTCCTGGCTTTGTGCATCTCTGCTGCCTCCAGGAGCGAAGTTTTTGCCGACCACGCGTGCAAATGTGGCTCCAAATTGTTAACTGTGGCAGTGCAAGGTCTACGTTTCAAGATATCAATTCCCCAAGAGCCATGGTGTTTATAAAGGTGGGATGACTCAAGTGTAGCTGTTAAATGACTTGGCCGGTTGGAATACGGATCGCCCATTGCAGTGGTATTTGATGCACCCCCTTTTCGTTTACCAAATCTCAGCCCCGGCTGCCATGATCCACAAAGCGTAGTAGGTTCGTGGTAAGTGGGGTGTATCATTGAAATCCGCCAATCATGAGGATTAAGTACATACTCTATATATATATATATAGTATATACATACACCTATAGATGTATCTGTATTGATGTCTAACCATTAGGTACCGAATCCTCAATCCTCACCGCGGGAAGAGTCCTCGCTTATGACTGTGAATCTGTCTCGCTTGTGCTGCACCAGCATCACGTGCAGCTTGCCGCGGTAACAGACTAATAGAACATATATGATGTCATGGCACACATATCATGAAATTGCAGACTTATATCAAGACAGAATAGTATAGTCAATAACTTTCTTGCCCCACCCATGCCCCCACGTCCCCAAGTCAAACCCTAACAGGTTATGGCTGTGTAGAGAGTCTGAAGATGGTGCTTGCCCCCCCTACCCCAGCCCAGGTCCCAGGTCCCCATACCCCCAAGGCGGTCAAAACCCATGTTTGCAGGGTTCACGCCACCTGCGGGATTCCTAAAGACGGATCGCAGGAGGGAGAGACCTGCAGCACCCAGAAGTCCACCCTAAGAGAGGGCGACACCTGCCGCATGGCATGGAGTGACGCCTGGGGAGGTTTGGGAATGAGGATTTTCAATGGGAAATTGGGGTATAACATCAACCATCGATATTACGATATCCTCATCATGATTAAATTATATCATACAGTATAATCATCCCTCATCAACCATCTATATTACATGGGATAAAAATGGGGGATAGTGATGAAGATCATAATGCGGACACATTAACATGGGGATACTCATGGCTGTGAAGCTGATCCAGTTGTAGGTATGCAACTTTGATCCATACCAATATTGCCATGGATCTAATTTCCAATCGATTTTACAACCGTCTAGGAGAGAATGATTTGTAGATGGCTAATCTTATAGATATCCTCTTCCCTCGGTTCATAAAAAAGAGAGGTCACCATCATTTTCCCATATTTTCCCATCAATAGGTACATGATGATAAATGATATACTAGTCACCAGCCCTGTGTTTTCCGCACCCCCAAAGGACGTTGTGTTCGACCCGTTGGTGTAAATACACCAGCCCCGGCCCTGAAACTGGATAGCTGGGGCTCGTAAGGGGATTAAGAGGGTGCACACACACACACCAACAACACGGGGGGCATGGTTGAGTTTCCATTTGCTTTGGATTGTATACATCACCATTTGAGCATCATTCATGAAGTTAATGGTAAGTTCAACTCCCCTAGTTTATAGTTGATTAGAATCCCTTATTGATGGTCAGCTTTCCTTCGATCATTTCTGGATCTGAGATCCTCGTCCCACTGAACATCGGCACCTCTCCAAGGTCACCCGTCCTATGAAGGGCAGTCGCAAGCTTGCGATCTGACTGAGCAGAAGGACGCAGACTCGGGAGGTTGAGGGGTCAGAGATGGTGCCTGGGCCTGGTATCCAGTTTTTAGCAGCTGGCTGTGAAAAATGAGGTAGCATCTGGTTATTCAACGTTGCACACTGGAAAATCACACCATTTTTAATAGGTAAATCAGGCAAATCATCATACATCAATTTTATTCACCAGTGGGCCCGAAGAGGTCCGTGCCGCTCCGTGCCCGTTTGGTCCAGGACGTGCGCCTTGGCTTTGGTGCTCTCCAATCGCTTCAGCAAGCTCCCTTGGACTGGTGGCCGAAGGTGCGATGTACTGCAGCTGCGCGTGATCACTGGGTTGTTTGAACCTATTCCCACCATTGCAATTTGATTTTTTTACGGCTGGGCAAAATGACGACCAACCATTTTTTTATATTTTTTTCCCATGTTCAGACAAAGCCGAATATTTTGGGAATGAATGATGGGAGGATGGGGGTTGAGTCTCTTGTTATGACTTGACATCCAATCATTCTGCCTTTCCGTCCCCATATGGGAAGATGAAAACTACTCCCAAGCTGTTGGTTTCTTCCCAAGATTCCCCGTTTTCTTCTAGAATTTTTATGGTGGAAAAATCGAAAAAACGTTTTTTTCCTAGAAACTGTGGATGGTGGCGACATTTTACACCAGTTGATAGATGGTTTATCCCATTATTCATAGGGTTTCAACCATCCAAGGTGGTTTTTCCTACATATTTCTGATGTTTTTTTGGGTTCAAGAACCTGGGTCCCCCGGTTGGATCACAGTGTCACAGATCGATCTCGCAGGTAGCTCTTTCGCAGGTCGAGAAGGTGGTCTGGGTTTATGATTAGGTTCAAATGACATTCCTGGAGTTTCCGATCATATTTTTGATATATATATATATATAAATAGTATAATATATACATGTCCACAGGAAAGCAACTGATGGCTTTGCGCAGGGCTCAAGCCTCATGTCTCCCCAACTGGTTCTAGGCTTCATCGTTGAAGGGCTTAGGACTAATATTTGGGGGTTAGGTTGTCCTAGCTACTGTACCCAACCTTCAGCAGGGTTGATTGGCTTTGTCTTCCTGCTGGGCTGGCTCTGTGGGGTGTTTCTTGTCCTGGGCTTCTGCTTTTGGCTGATTGGACTCCCCAGCCACTCCCTGTCTTTTGTGCACCGGCCATCCACTGCTCATATCATCTCCCGTGCCCAGGTTCTTGCTTCCTACTTGCATGAGCCTGCCCCCCTCTCACAACGACGGAGGAGTTGAATTGCGTGTGGATTTACCTGGTGGCCTCAGGGTTGTGGTTTCTGCTCCAGCTTCGTCTGCTTCCCTTGCTGCAGAGCTCCTTGGACACATCTCGCTTTTCCAAAGCACTGCTTCCTCTGCCCGGTCTGACTTCTCGTTTGATCTGGTGTCTGCTGCTGGTGACCCTGAGCCTGAGCGTCTTGCTACTGAGCGTGCCCCTGAGACCCGTGATTCCATTCTGGCTTCATTCAGTCCTTGCCCCTCTCGGCTTTTTGTCCATACTGGTCGTCTGTCTGGTTCGAGCCTCTCAGGTAAGGACAGGATTCATCGGGCTTGGCTTGCTGGTCAGTGGGCTGGCGCAGTTCGAAGTTCAAGGATTGGCAGTCCCAACAGGACACCTGCAATTGACCTCAGGCCTCGTTTCTACGCAGTCCTACGGGCTGATCACTTGGAGAGACCCACAATCTTCAAGTCTGCGGCAGGCTACTGGAGGTGCATCGGAAGTCTGGAGAATAGCTCTTCAATCTCCCAGGCCTTCCCAAGTGAGCTTGAGGCGAGGATCTACCTGGAGGCAGCTGGTGAAGTCGACGTGGACACTGCCCCCTAGTTGCAACCATGGAGCATACAGAAGCATTGACCTTGCAAAGTTTGGCCACTCTGCAGTCGGATGTCGAGCCCTATCTGTTGGATTGGCCTACCGTGGGTGCCATCGGTTTGTCCGAGACTCTGGCTTTGGTGGTGATGGTTCGTCCTGGAGGTTTTCTGGTGGCTGTCCCCGTTGGATTTATTCCGGCCTCAGTTCTGGACGTAGGAAACGCCCCATCCCCTCCGGGTCCTGTCGGTCCATCCACTGTGCTCTCCGTTCCTGGCGCGGTCTTAGACAACGGCACTCTGTCTCCCACGGGTTCCTCTCTGTCTGTGGTCGTCGTGGATTTTGCCGAGTCCCTTCTCTCTCAGCTGCACCCTCTTCCAGCCTTTTCAGAAGTTCAGTTTGCCTTCGACCCCGAGCAGCCTTATGCAGTTCCTTCTCTTTTGGTCTTGGTGGCTCGAGTCAAGGAATGGCTGGAGGCTGGAGGAGAAAGTGGTCCTATGGGCTATGTCACAGCGGTCACAGATGTGGAGGACATAGATGGCGTGGAATTAGAGGAGGGAGATCTACCAGAGATGGAAGGCCCTCCAGAAGCTTCGACGCCTCCGAGAACACCGAAAGAAAAGAAGCCTTCTCGGCGCACAGTTCCTGGGCCAGGGCGGCCTTCCACTGGAGAAAAGCGGCACACCGTCGCAAGCTTGGCGTCCTCCCTGCACGAGCTGATCCAGGTGAACACAGGTCTGTCTCAACAAGTGCAAAACCTTACTCTGCGACAGCAAGAACTGGAGAAGAGGACCATGGCTCCTTCTCAAGCGTTGGTTTCCCCCCATGCACTTTTGCGCCGGCCCATCTCATCGGTGTTGGACAATCAGTCAGCAAAGCCTTCAACCATTGCCCAGGCGATTGGTGCTCCCCCGCGAACAGCTGTGTCTATGAGCCCGGGACTGTTGCAGTCTCCTTTGGTGAAGCCCCAAGATCTACTGGAATTGGAGGAGGAGAAAGGCGAGATGGACCCATCTATCTCCAAAGACCCCTTGGCTTAGGCTGTGCTCCAGCAATCGAGAGCGCTCACTGCTCTGGTGTCACAGATAGCAACTCAGAGTGCGGACCCCTTATTGGAGCTTGGCGCAGGGACTTTTGGTGCCAGTACCAGAGGTGCACAAGGCAGAGCGAAGCTACAAGGGGAGCTAGCAGCCCAACGTGGATCCTTCTTCAACTCGGTGTTGGCCTCTATGGCAAGAAGAATGCAGCCTACCATGTCCACCGAGGGGAGCCCCGAGGAGTTGATGAATCGAGGCATATCGGGGACCAGATACTTGGAGCGTTTCGGTGGTTTTGGGAAGCATCGAGAATTGGGGTACCTTCAATTTCAGGTGATGACAATCATGGACTTTTTGCAGGTGGGGAACCTACCAGCAGCTCGGGACGCTGTGTCGTTGCTGGCGGTAACGATAGACCAGGCTGCCTTGGACAACGGAAGGTTCGACTTGGCCAACCTTCTATCATTACAGGAAGACCCACCGTCGCAGATCTTCACTCAGAAGGCCCCAACGTGCTCTCAAAGGCGCGGGCGTTCACACCTCTGGCAAGTCAGCAATGGATCACGGTGGCTCTTGCGTACGTGAAAGAATTGGATTTGATCTCAGCAAAGAGGTTGGAATTGGCAGCACCTCAAAAGTCAAATCCATTTGCCAGCTCCTCTCAGGTGCCCGACCCATCAAAACCAAAGGCTGCTCCCAAGAAGAAGGGAAAAGGGTCAGGAAAAGGAAATCCTGCCCCTCAACAAAACCAGGAAGGGGAAGATTAGACAAGGCCGGTTCGGCCACCTATGAGCCTGGAAAGGCTGAGGGGCTGGTGTCAAACCCTCTGACCTCCAGGATTTCTTTCCATCGATGGATTTCTTTGTCTCCCTCGCTGGATTTTGAAGACCCACACAAAGCTTGCTTGGTGTCTCTCACGTTCCTTTGCGATTCTGCGGCGTTCCTCAGAGACGTCTTCCGCACTCCTACCATTGCCCTTGTTTTCCTTGGATTGCTTCCGTGGTAGTGGCCCTGGCTTGTCATGCAAACGCTTCCGATCACTCTGCAAAGATCGGCTCCTCAATGTCTGGACTTTGTACTGGACTTTTTGTACCTGGGGAGATGGCCAACTGTTGATGAGCTCAGGAGGTGTCCTTCACATGAACAGCTTGCGATTTTTCGGCGGCTTAGGACCTACTTGAGTGCGTGTGGTGAAGCCCAGGAGGAGTTTTCTCTGTGCCCCGGCCGATCCAGCCCTGAATTGGCTTCTGCTTTGTTTCACCTTGAGTCTTTTTGCATGTCTTCTCCGGCCTTGCATACGGGTTACATGGACGATGAGCCTGTGCCTTTTGCGTCAAAGCCTGGACTTTTGTCGGCAGCCGAGTTCCCTGAATTGTTGCCATATCGTTCCTTGGATGCTGATCGCTTGCGGTTGATTGGTGAGGGACTGTGGAACATGGAATCCTTTCTTGACGGGCCACTTTGGCTCCCCTTTCAAGAGCCTGCCTTTTTGCGTCATGGACTGCCTATCTCACATGAAGATCTGCCCAATTTTTCTGCGGGAAATCCAGCCGAGTGCTTGAAGCTTGCAAAGATTTGGGACAGACGTGGACTTTTGACTTTGTTTGCTGAACCTGCAGTGCCTGGCATGTTTTGTAGGACTTTTAATGCTTACAAGGACCATGATCGGGACCGGCAGATTGGGGATAGGCGTTTACCAAATTTGATGGAATATCATATTGATGGCCCTTCCAAACAACTGCCCCAAGGCTCCCAGTTGACATGCCTGCGCGTTCCCCGGTTCACGCACATCCTGAGGGGATCCATCACGGATCGTCGTGACTTCTACCACCAGGCAAAGGTCACCTTGGAACGAGCTCAGAGCAACATGATGCCTTTCTCATACCCCTCCCATGTGTTTGATGAAACCAGAGCCATGCAGGATCTTGTCATGCGTGCACGTTGCCCTGAAACGAGTCAGCGGGAGGTTGTCGGCGACAAGCTTGGCCAGCAAAGGGTTTCAAACAAGAGGAGAAAGGGATTGCTGGTGCCTGAAAGGTTGTATCCTTGTTTTTCCTCGCTCTTTCAAGGAGATCACTTGGGTGTTGAGTTTGCCCTCAGAAGCCATAGCTTGTTGCTTGAGAATCATGGACTTCTCTTGCCTCAGCACCGCTTGTTGGGAAACCGTCCTGTGCCTGCCGGTCCTTGTTGGGATGCACTTGTGATTGATGACTATTTTGCAATTGGCTCTCAACGCCTTGGCAGTGACCCCAGATTAGGTTTTGCCCATGTTGCTCTTGACGTTGCAAGGAAGGTTTATCATGATGAAAGGCTGTTGGGCTCGGATGAGAAAGATGTGGTTGCCAGTTTTGAATTCAAAGCTGCAGGCGCCGAAGGGCGTTCCTGCCCAATGAATGCTAGGCGTGGTATTGTGCCTGTCGGTGCTCCTTTGGCCAAGAGGATTGCTTTGTCAGTTGTATCTTTGCGTGCTGCATGCCTTCCTGGAATTACTTCGAGACTTGCTTCAAGATTGGCGGGGAATTGGGTATCTGTCCTGCAATACAGAAATCCTCTCTAGTCTGATTGATGGATTTTTCAAGCTGTCCAATGCATGTTTGGCTGAGAGGTGTCCCCAGGTGCACAAGCTCCCCCGACCCATTGCTTGCGAGCTGGTCTCCTTGTCGGCAGTTGCTCCCTTGATGTTTTCCAATGTGGCTGTGGACTTTCTTGGAGAAGCCTTCGCCTCGGATGCCTCCAATCAGAAAGGGGCAATTGTGTCAACATGCGTGGATGAGCAGGTGCATGAGTCTGTATGGCTTTGTGCTGACAAGAAAGGCTCTTACACCCACTTGGACAATGACTTCCGAGCTATCTTGCGCCAGGTTGGTGAAGTTGATGACGACTGTGAAGCTGCTTGCCCTGGTTTTGTTCAGGAACCAATCCGTAAGCAGCCCCTCATGTATTTCGATTTTGTTGAGATCTGTGGTGGGGCTGGAAAAGTGAGTGATGCAGTGCGCAACATGGGCCATTCTGTAGCGCCTGTGCTGGATCTCTCCAACAGCAGACACTATGACTTGTCTTGCCTTCGGCTTTTGGAATGGATTATTTACATGTTGGAGGAGAGCCGGTTCCGTAGTTTCCTGATTGCTCCACCCTGCACCAGTTTCAGCCCGGCTGCTCACCCAGCTGTTCGCAGCTACAAGCAACCTCTTGGCTTTGACAGGTTGAATCCAAAGACCCTCCGAGGAAACATCTTGGCTTTTAGAGCACTGCTCCTTCTGAGGGTTGGCAAGAGGTATCGACGTCCATGCGGTCTCGAACAAAGCCGACTCAGCAAGATGTGTTGGTTGGAGCTTTGGATTTGCTTGCGCACACAGGGTTTTCTGGAGGCTGTCATTGCATCATGTGTTTTTGGATCAATCCACCGCAAGGAATTCCGTTTGCTTTGTTACCTGCTTGATGTTGAGTTCCTTGACCGCCGTTGCCCTGGAGGCCATGCACATGTGAGGGTTGAAGGGTCTTACACAAAAGCCTCAGCAGTTTATGTCGATGGACTTGCTTGGCACTTGGGTTTGGCCTTCCACAAGGCGCTGCGAGCTTTGGACCTTGCTGATGACCTCTCTCCTAGTGTTGATGGACTTGAGACCCCTCTTGCAAATGATCTCATGGCTGCCTCAAGCTGGAAAACTGTCCGGTCATGGTTTTGGAAGAAAGCTGCGCACATCAATGTTCTTGAGCTTGCTTCAGCTGTGTCAAACCTTGGCTCCGTGGCAAAGAAGCATTCCTCAGTCAGGTTTGTGAATTTCCTTGACTCTGCGGTGTGCCGTGGTGCCCTGGCAAAGGGAAGGTCTGCCTCCTATGCCCTGCAGCCTGGACTTAAAAGAGCTTGTGCCCTTTGCATTGTGGCTGATCTGTACCCTGCTTGGCCTTTTTCTCCTACCCGGTTGAATGTGGCTGATGACCCGTCCAGGGAACTTGAACCCAGGGAGCCTGCTGCAAACTCGATTGTCAAAGCTGGTGGACTTCCCCTACTGATGCAACTGATCCAAGGTCTTCGACGTCATGCTGCGAACTGGGTCCGTCTTGTCTTGCTGGTTTCCCTTGTCCCTCCTTCCACTGCATGCGATGGCCCTGTGGATTCGACCCTGTGCTTTGGCGACAAGACCTCATGAAATGGTCCTGTGATACTCATCCTGAAGAAATGGCAGCCGTTGCAAGCGCTGGGAAGAGAGCACGTGCAGAAGTACAACTCAAAGATTTGACATCAGCTGACCGTCATCTTTTCGATATTGCCAAAGACGCTGAACTCACATGCTGGCTTCAGACAAGTGTTCTTAAGCCCATACTCAGAAAGTCTTTGAACCCTGAGCAAATTTTGCGATCCCGCTGGGTGTTAACCTGGAAACCTGTTGAAGGACCAGGTGGCAATGTGCAGGGTCGTAAAGCCAAAGCTCGATTAGTAGTACTTGGATATATGGATCCCAGACTGACTGATGTAGCCAGAGATGCACCAACTTTGACCCGGGAGGGAAGACATACGATCCTGCAGCTTATTGCTTCCAAAAGATGGGTCTTATCCTCATTTGATATCAAGACAGCTTTCTTGAGGGGGCGTGCCGATGATGCAAACCCACTGGCAATGGAACCCCCAAAAGAATTAAGACAGAGACTTCAACTAGAGGATAATCAAGTTTGTTCATTGATTGGGAATGCTTATGGCCGTGTAGATGCTCCCCTACTTTTCTATAAAGAGCTGACACAGCAGCTTCAACGTCTTGGATTCAAGCCTCATCCTCTAGAACCTTGTGTGCACTACCTTGAAACAGTGGTAAATGGAAAAAGGATTCTACATGGTGTCTTGGGAACCCACGTAGACGATGGAGTATGTGGTGGTGATTCAATCTTTCATCAGAAAATTCAGGAACTTCAGACTCGTTTGCCTTTTGGTGCTTTTAAACAACGAAAGTTTACCTTTACCGGCATTTCCCTAGAGCAAACTCCAGATTTTGGCATCACTGCTTCACAGCAGGATTATATACATGGAATTCTCCCTATAGAAGTTGGTAAGCAGCGCAGAAGTTTTCCCGAACAAAGTGCAAGTGAAAATGAAAAGTCAGCTCTCCGAGGATTAATTGGAAGTGTCCAATATGCAGTGACCCATACGAGGCCTGACTTAGCGTCGAAGCTGGGGGAAATCCAAGTCCAGATTGCCCGACCAACCGTGAATACTTTACTGCTGGCGAATAAGCTCTTGAGAGAAGCCCAAGAAACCAGTGATACCAAGATCCATTTTCGGTCAATTCCTGTAGACAATGTTACTCACGTAGTATTTGGAGATGCCTCTTTTGCAAGTCCCAAACAACTTTCATCTTTTCAAGGAACCATTGTATTTGCAACGACCCCTGAACTTCAAGAAAACGTCACAGCGCCTATCAGTCCTTTAACCTGGTCATCCAAGAAAATTGCAAGAGTGGTGAGATCAACTTTATCTGCAGAGGCTTTCTCAATGTCACGTGGAGTAGATAAGCTTAGCTGGATGCGCTTACTTTGGGGTTCATTAGTGATCGATGACTTCGACTGGCGTCAACCTCCAAAAGCTTTGAAGGAACTTCATCGTGCTATCATCGTCACGGATTGCAAATCCTTATTTGATTTGGTAACTCGAACGGCAATGCCATCATGTGAGGAGTATAGGACAACTTTGGAAGTCCTTCTTATCCGTGAACTATGTCATGAGAACTGCCATTTTAGGTGGATTCCTACAGCCTTACAACTTGCAGATCCACTGACCAAACCGATGGATCCCACGATTCTTCGTGTGGCACTCGCGGCTGGGAGTTTCCAACTGTTTGATGAGCAATCCAGCTTGCAGACGAATGCACATAGAAAACAAGCTATCTCATGGCTTCAAGGGCAGAAGAGGAACTCACATCAATAGAAAGTTTCGGGAGTGTGATTTTTCCACACTTGTTCACACCGATGTCCTTGATGTGAGATGCCTGCAACTCCAGTATTCATGCTCCGTGGCTTCCCGATCAAGTCCATGGGAGGGTGTGGATGCGGACCGTTGGACGGTACATGGCTGAGTGATAAACACTTGCAGCAGCTGCGGAAAGACAGGGTCTTTGGCTGGTGAACCGGGTTCATCCTTTATTCAATTGGACAGGGCTCAATCTTCAACTGATTAGGGATCAGTACAATATTCATCATTGTTGATTCATCTTTCAGATCAACTGGGTTGATCCACTTTGACATTTTGGTTGGACGTTGGCAAAGCTTCCAGTGTGTGAGGCTTTTGACCTTTCACAAATATAATATATATATATATATGTATCTGTTCATGTCATATTGATAGCGATATCATTAGATGATCACCTACATACCCCCCTTCTCCGGTTCTTTTTCCCCAGGTCACCAGAGGCCCCAAAGACGCTGCAGACCTCCGAGCCAGACGTGCCCAGCGCGGTGCAGCAGCTCGTGGCGGCCTGGCCAAGTCTTACATGGGGCTTGGGGGGGATTGGGCTTTAGAGTTGGTCACTATGATAGTAATAATAAGAATACTAATAGTAATAACAATAATAGTAACAACAATAGTAATAATGATAATACCAATTATGATGATCACAAGGATATAATCATACACACACACACATATATATATATATGGGCCTAAAAAACCAAACGTGTCCTGATTTTTTTTTACCAACACCTTTGATGATCCTTGCCTTCCATGACTTCAAAGAACTGGATCCCCAGTGGTCACCATCGTTGTTTCAATACCAAGTCATGGTACAAGGAACACATATCGAAGTATATTGAAGTATATTGACACATATATCCCATGCTCAGAGGATGGGGCCCCCAAGATAGCGTTCAGTTGCCTGAAAATTCAGTGGCTTTATGGTAGATATAACGAACTAGTTATAATGGGGTTATTTCATGGTTTATGTCCACCCACTTATAACTGGGGGGGCCCCATCCTGCAATGATAGGCAAATTTGAAATATAGTTGAACTTTAGAACTTTTGGTATCTTTGGTCCGGCACCTTCTTCCCTGTGCGAGCCATCACCCTTTGAGGTCGTCATGGGCAACTACTCCGCAGACTTGGCGTGGCAGCCACCGGCGGAGACGGGCGGCCTTAGTGGTCTCTACTATGAGGCGGGGGATGCCAGGGAAATGGTGGGCGATGTCGGCGAAATCATCCGGACATTCCATGGGAATTATGGGAAAATTTTGCAGAAGATGGGACATGAAATTCCATGGGATCATTATAATACTGGGAATCCTATCAACCAACCAGTGTGACAGAGGGCTTTGCGTTGCTCACTTGAGATAATTTTGGGGGCAGACGTTAGGTTGTGAAGAAGCGATGCCCGGCATGGCATTTTTCTCATGATACCGCTCGGTTCCCTTGATGTCTAGGTTTTGTCTGAAAAGAAGGTACTATTCCATCCCATGATTGAGAAAATGAGTGACCTTATTGAAATATGGCAATTCTTGGGGACCATTCCTAAGCTAAAAAACCCAACACCAAACATCATTTTGTCGTATTTTTGGTTTGGGGATAACCCTGTTTAAAGAAACGCCACTACCTACTCCAGCGACGCAACATTGGTCTGCGACTATCTAGGTGACGGCCATAGCAGATCACCAGCTGGTGGGGCGTCCTGGGTATGGCTTGGGCTGGTGCCAAAGATCAAAATGGCTGGAATCTGGAACGGGTTAATTCCTAAAAACGTGGATATATCGGGAAGGTATTGCTTACTAAGTTGCGTTTCCGGCTTTTATACAACTTTTCATTTTCTTCGCTGAACAGTCCAGCGCACAAAAAATGGTGTGGTTGAGAAAGATCCCAATATGAGGACCATTCTGGCAATGGTACTGCGTTGTGCACTACGGGGTGCCAGGGATTTCAAAGGGCACCTGCGACAGCTGCCAGGTTCAAACCACCACGGAGACCTTTGTCACCATAGAGACATTGTTTGGCAGCCGTGTGTGGGTCCAAGAGTCCAAGAGAGCTTGGAGCAGATGGTCAAGATGTGGGTCTCCTCTGGTGTTTATTGCGTTCTATAAATTTTGCGGGCAAACCCGGTATCCCATCTGAAACCAGACACTTGCCTGCAAGGGATATGCCGATATGCCTGGAATGTCCCAGGCCTACAACGTCTCGGTTGTCGCCTGCAACACTTTGGGTTGCGGTGCTGCATCCACCATCTCCAACCTACAGACAGCGGCCGCCGAGGAGCAAAGGGGGTAGGTGATGATAGTTGCGATCTTTGAATTCTGATGGCGGTCGGGGGTGAAGGGAACATATGCAGGACTTCATGGTTTTAAGTTGTTTCAACATGTTTCAACTATCCAGCAAAACGTAGGGTTTTCCTGCAGATCTTCGCTTCATCCAATTCTGGGCGATGGGGTATCCGGTATCCTGGGCTAACCATCTGTTTTTCGTTGCTTGACTATTGGTAAAACAACATCCGACATAAAGTCTTATCGTGACCAAACATGTTGAGGGCAGGAATCCAACAAAGGCTCTAAGCGTTGCAGAAACAAAAATCCTTTGGACACATGGTCCAGTTGTGACTGCGAACCTTTTTCCAGTACACCAGAGGTAGCCAAGTAGCAGTTTGCTGGGTTTTTCTCACGGCAAATTCGATGATTTCCTTTGGCCAGGATCAAGCCCTTTTAGCCGGACAAGCGGCCTCAGTAGCTGCTATTGCAGCAGGCCTCACAGCAGAACAGGCTGCACAAGCAGCAGGTGCAGCAGCAGCCAGCACTGCACAAAATGTAGGTTTGTCGCCTGAGTTGCAAACCAGCTTGGCAGCAACCGCAGCCGCACAAGCTGCGAACGTGAACCAACTAAGTGCACAGAAGCAAGCAGAACTGGCAGGAGAAGCAGCTGCATCAGCTGCATCAGCAGGAGCACTAGCAGTAGCAAACATGAGCATGACCGAACTTGCATCGGCAGCAGGTTCGGCTGTTTTGTTTGTGGGACGCCAAGCTGGACTCACACCTGAGGAACTTGCAGTGTTGGCCGCCCAATCTGCTACAGCAGTGCTCCAGCAACACTACAATGCTTCTGTGTCGCAGCAAGCGCAGGTAGCAAGCGCAGCAGTTGCTGTTGCATTGACAAATGCAAGCCTGACACCTGCAGAAGAAGCGCTGTTGACGGGTGCCTCTGTTTTAACAGCCTTGAGGAGTGGTTCTGGGTGTGATGCAGAGCTGGTAGCACACGCAGGTGAAGCTGCCCAATCTGTTGCAAGCAGGACAAGCATGAACGTGAGTGACCAAGCAGCCACATCAGGACAAGCCGCAGCACAAGCAGCTGCAAACTGCAGCATGTCACCAGCCATGCAGGCACAACTAGCTGGAGCTGCTGCAGCCGCAGCAGGTGCAACTGCAAACCTTTCTAGCGACGAACAAACAGCCTTGGCCGGGCAAGCGGCTTCAGTAGCTGCTATTGCAGCAGGCCTCACAGCAGAACAGGCTGCACAAGCAGCAGGTGCAGCAGCAGCCAGCACTGCACAAAATGTAGGTTTGTCGCCTGAGTTGCAAACCAGCTTGGCAGCAACCGCAGCCGCACAAGCTGCGAACGTGAACCAACTAAGTGCACAGAAGCAAGCAGAACTGGCAGGAGAAGCAGCTGCATCAGCTGCATCAGCAGGAGCACTAGCAGTAGCAAACATGAGCATGACCGAACTTGCATCGGCAGCAGGTTCGGCTGTTTTGTTTGTGGGAAGCCAAGCTGGACTCACACCTGAGGAACTTGCAGTGTTGGCCGCCCAATCTGCTACAGCAGCGCTCCAGCAACACTACAATGCTTCTGTGTCGCAGCAAGCGCAGGTAGCAAGCGCGGCAGTTGCTGTTGCATTGACGAATGCAAGCCTGACACCTGCAGAAGAAGCGCTGTTGACGGGTGCCTCTGTTTTAACAGCCTTGAGGAGTGGTTCTGGGTGTGATGCAGAGCTGGTAGCACACGCAGGTGAAGCTGCTCAATCTGTTGCAAGTAGGACAAGCATGAACGTGAGTGACCAAGCAGCCACATCAGGACAAGCCGCAGCACAAGCAGCTGCAAACTGCAGCATGTCACCAGCCATGCAGGCACAACTAGCTGGAGCTGCTGCAGCCGCAGCAGGTGCAACTGCAAACCTTTCTAGCGACGAACAAACAGCCTTGGCCGGGCAAGCGGCCTCAGTAGCTGCTATTGCAGCAGGCCTCACAGCAGAACAGGCTGCACAAGCAGCAGGTGCAGCAGCAGCCAGCACTGCACAAAATGTAGGTTTGTCGCCTGAGTTGCAAACCAGCTTGGCAGCAACCGCAGCCGCACAAGCTGCGAACGTGAACCAGCTAAGTGCACAGAAGCAAGCAGAACTGGCAGGAGAAGCAGCTGCATCAGCAGGAGCACTAGCAAACATGAGCATGACCGAACTTGCATCGGCAGCAGGTTCGGCTGTTTTGTTTGTGGGAAGCCAAGCTGGACTCACACCTGAGGAACTTGCAGTGTTGGCCGCCCAATGTGCTACAGCAGTGCTCCAGCAGCACTACAATGCTTCTGTGTCACAGCAAGTGCAGGCAGCAAGCGCGGCAGTTGCTGTTGCATTGACGAATGCAAGCCTGACACCTGCAGAAGAAGCGCTGTTGACGGGTGCCTCTGTTTTAACAGCCTTGAGGAGTGGTTCTGGGTGTGATGCAGAGCTGGTAGCACACGCAGGTGAAGCTGCTCAATCTGTTGCAAGTAGGACAAGCATGAACGTGAGTGACCAAGCAGCCACATCAGGACAAGCCGCAGCACAAGCAGCTGCAAACTGCAGCATGTCACCAGCCATGCAGGCACAACTAGCTGGAGCTGCTGCAGCCGCAGCAGGTGCAACTGCAAACCTTTCTAGCGAAGAACAAACAGCCTTGGCCGGGCAAGCGGCCTCAGTAGCTGCTATTGCAGCAGGCCTCACAGCAGAACAGGCTGCACAAGCAGCAGGTGCAGCAGCAGCCAGCACTGCACAAAATGTAGGTTTGTCGCCTGAGTTGCAAACCAGCTTGGCAGCAACCGCAGCCGCACAAGCTGCGAACGTGAACCAACTGAGTGCACAGAAGCAAGCAGAACTGGCAGGAGAAGCAGCTGCATCAGCAGGAGCACTAGCAAACATGAGCATGACCGAACTTGCATCGGCAGCAGGTTCGGCTGTTTTGTTTGTGGGAAGCCAAGCTGGACTCACACCTGAGGAACTTGCAGTGTTGGCCGCCCAATCTGCTACAGCAGTGCTCCAGCACCACTACAATGCTTCTTTGTCGCAGCAAGCGCAGGTAGCAAGCGCGGCAGTTGCTGTTGCATTGACAAATGCAAGCCTGACACCTGCAGAAGAAGCGCTGTTGACGGGTGCCTCTGTTTTAACAGCCTTGAGGAGTGGTTCTGGGTGTGATGCAGAGCTGGTAGCACACGCAGGTGAAGCTGCTCAATCTGTTGCAAGTAGGACAAGCATGAACGTGAGTGACCAAGCAGCCACATCAGGACAAGCCGCAGCACAAGCAGCGGCAAACTGCAGCATGTCACCAGCCATGCAGGCACAACTAGCTGGAGCTGCTGCAGCCGCAGCAGGTGCAACTGCAAACCTTTCTAGCGAAGAACAAACAGCCTTGGCCGGGCACGCGGCTTCAGTAGCTGCTATTGCAGCAGGCCTCACAGCAGAACAGGCTGCACAAGCAGCAGGTGCAGCAGCAGCCAGCACTGCACAAAATGTAGGTTTGTCGCCTGAGTTGCAAACCAGCTTGGCAGCAACAGCAGCCGCACAAGCTGCGAACGTGAACCAACTGAGTGCACAGAAGCAAGCAGAACTGGCAGGAGAAGCAGCTGCATCAGCAGGAGCACTAGCAAACATGAGCATGAGGGAACTTGCATCGGCAGCAGGTTCGGCTGTTTTGTTTGTGGGAAGCCAAGCTGGACTCACACCTGAGGAACTTGCAGTGTTGGCCGCCCAATCTGCTACAGCAGTGCTCCAGCACCACTACAATGCTTCTTTGTCGCAGCAAGCGCAGGTAGCAAGCGCGGCAGTTGCTGTTGCATTGACAAATGCAAGCCTGACACCTGCAGAAGAAGCGCTGTTGACGGGTGCCTCTGTTTTAACAGCCTTGAGGAGTGGTTCTGGGTGTGATGCAGAGCTGGTAGCACACGCAGGTGAAGCTGCTCAATCTGTTGCAAGTAGGACAAGCATGAACGTGAGTGACCAAGCAGCCACATCAGGACAAGCCGCAGCACAAGCAGCTGCAAACTGCAGCATGTCACCAGCCATGCAGGCACAACTAGCTGGAGCTGCTGCAGCCGCAGCAGGTGCAACTGTAAACCTTTCTAGCGAAGAACAAACAGCCTTGGCCGGACAAGCGGCCTCAGTAGCTGCTATTGCAGCAGGCCTCACAGCAGAACAGGCTGCACAAGCAGCAGGTGCAGCAGCAGCCAGCACTGCACAAAATGTAGGTTTGTCGCCTGAGTTGCAAACCAGCTTGGCAGCAACCGCAGCCGCACAAGCTGCGAACGTGAACCAACTGAGTGCACAGAAGCAAGCAGAACTGGCAGGAGAAGCAGCTGCATCAGCAGGAGCACTAGCAAACATGAACGTGACGCAAATTGCGACGGTGGCTGCCAGTGCAGTTACTTGGATAATTTGAGTCTGTTCATAATATGTGCAGTTACTTCCAGTTTGTTCATAATATGTCCAGGTGGGTTTGGGGAGGCCTCATAGCATCAGCCCTGCCCAGGCTGAAAGTGTTGCCCTGGAGGCAGGCCTTTCTCCATCGCAGGCGTCGCAACTTTCAAGTGATGCCTTAGAGTTGGCTGAGGAGCGCCGCTTGGACGTGGCTGATGGGAATGGCAACTATGAGGTGGGCCTACAAGCCAGCTATAATCCCATCCCCCTATTTTTTTTTCACCACCTAAATGGTCCCAAATATATGCAAATCCCCTACTCAACTCTCGTTTGTGGGAGTTGTTTAATATTAGGGGGAATGGATTAATTATATATATAAAATATGTATATATACAGTATATATACATATATTAATACTACAATTGTGAGAACTGCAGGAAATTTGGACTAGCAAGTTACCAAGTGGGATTGATCTTGGAAGATCCTCCTCTTTGTCAGCAAGCCCTTTATCCAAGGTCACAGTCCGACAGTCCTTTCCTAAAGCCCATTGGGTTTCGACCAGCTAGTCGTCATGGTCGCGAATGACTTGGATGAATCACCATGGAAAAATCACCATTTTTATGGAAAATCACCATTTTTAATGGGAAAATCCACTATTTCTATGGCCATTTTCAATAGCAAACTGTTAAATTACCAGAGGGTATCCCCATGGATTGGAAACCTCGATGGACCCCGTGTTTGAATGAGTTTTTGGAAAAAAAATCTGCCCATGCAGATCTTTTGGATCAAGAACAGTTAGTACCTTGCTGACTGACAGTCAGCAACCCAACGGCCCCACAAAAAACGGCTGAGAGCCCAGGTGGCGCTAAAGGGTACATTTCGAGGTCCCAAAATTGTTTGGTTCAACATTAGACATGTTCAGATTACTTTCTTGGACGCTCTGGTTGCTGAACCATACCCACATTTGGGTAAAGCTTGGCTGGGTCGGTTCCTAAATGGTTTTGTAATCTTTGCCACACAGCAAAGATATAGAATTCCTGGTTGGTGCTTTGGAACATTTGGATTATTTTTCCCATCATATCGGGAATGTCATAATCCCAACTGACTCATATTTTCAGAGGGGTTGGTAGGTATACCACCAACCAGATTATTATTAACCATCATTAACCATCATCATTAACCATATATTAACCATATATTAACCATCATTAACCAGAGATTTCTGACTGAGGTCCCTAGCTGATCCCCAGTTTCCTTCCCAGCGCATTGAAGCTCCATATTTTTGCGCTCCGTTGATATCCCCTTCGCATCCAGGTGATCTAAACGATATGAGACCATCCAATTCTGTTGTTTTTTTAAAATGATTTTATGGCTTCATATTGGATAGTAACCCCCCGGTATATATATATAATAATATATAATATAGATAGATATATCTATCATCACCAGTGAACAGGCGTCTTGAACTCTGCTCATTTTTAGTTTGTTTTTCTGTATGTCAAGTTGGGGATTTTTTTCGTAAACTGGCCATGACATCCTCCAGGGTTTCCCCTGGAATTTCCCAAGGTGCGGATTGCCAATTGACCACCAGGGATGAGCTGCGCTGCCTTCACAGGTGCATGGCCCAGAGGTGCGATGCTGGGGATGGGTACCCTCTGGTTATGTCAAAATAGCTATGGAAAATCACTATTTTTAATGGGTAAATCCACTGTAAATGGTGATTTTCCACAGTTATGTTAGTTTACCAGAGGGTATCATTTTTATCATTTTGCACTGGAAGAGGTATTTTTTAAGGGACAACAAAAACTATTTCATACTATTACTATTACAGTTGAAACTCCAGATATGGTTGGTAACACCAGGCTTTCCTGTGGCTTTTCGTGGATTCTCCCTTAAGTCCCCAATCCATTGAAAAGCAATCAAACCTGAGGGATCGCTAGGTCCGCAGCGGAAAGAAATGGACAATGGACTGCAAAAACTGCGACAACGAATGTATAGATGCTGCAGAATCCTTCCAAAGCGACCTTTTGAAATAGGATCTTTGTTGGTGGCAAACAGGATTGAGAGTGCTGGCCATTTTCATGGCTTGAAGTGTTTGAAGTTTTCTCAGGCTGCTGATGACATTGGATACCTCCGATCTCTTGAGCTGCAGTGGCAGCTTTGACGAGACCCGAGTGGCGGACGAACTGGTTTTCCAGATGGATTTCGGGACAGGGTCCCCGGGTCCAAACAGGGTTGCTGGGGTGGCGCGCCTGGGGGCTTGACCTAGCCAGAACCGAGCATGCAACTCAGATTGATTGGACAATTCCCTTGTGTTCAGAAGGGTAGTTTAGCGTTTAAAGGCCTCAGAACCTGCCTTCATTAGCCTTGATTCATGTTGCGGTTCCTACATTGGTCGTTTCAACTGTTTCTTTCACCAGGTCATCCCATAGTTCTTATACGTAGCGCAAATTAATCAAAGAATCGGACCCCCCCAACTCTTGGCAGTTATTATCACATCAAATATCTGGGAAACGTAGTGCAACAACGTTAAGTTATGTTTATATATATATATATATAGCTGCCTATCATCTCGATTATGATAGGAGACTGCTGTGGTAACGTCCTCTGCACATTTTGCTGGGTCATTGTTTTTAGATTAATGATTAGACATCCAGTCTGCGCTGAGTTTCAAATCAGCACAATCCCCATGTTTGTTGGTGAAAACGCGCTTTTTTCTGCTTAAGCCATGATTTTGTTGCCCACAGTCGGCTGGTTAAAACCACGTTGCAAAGCATGTCAGAATCACCAATGCAAATCTAGATGCATAAACAAAGGCTTTATCAACTTCTTAAAGTCCACCATAATAATGAATCATCCATATACCACCCTTTTGTGATAAAATAGGGGAAGTAAACAATCCCCACAATCTTCTCTTCCAGGAGCCGCCCAGCCAACTTCGCCCAGCGCCTTCTACTGGCTTTGGGCGATCTCGCGCGCGGTGGAAACGTCGGGCTGGCAGGGCTGCGCAGCGGCTCCGTGCGCGTGGCGCTGGCGGTGTCAGGTGGGGAATGTCACTGGGTAGTGAGAACAAGTAGTAGGCTTGCTCCAACCCATTAAATGATAGCCACCAGGGTAAATTAGTCATTTTACTTCTATATTTATCTATATTTATCATTATATTTATCCAATTTACAACCCCTTGTGCCTGTGTTTGGAGCAAGCCTGATTTTTCGTGTTTGTAAAGCAACAGTAGACCATCCCCTATTTTATCACAAAATAAAGGGTGGTTTTTTCACCATCAAAATTTGGTGATTCATGAGTTAATGTGTTGTTCAAACCCGTGTTTGCTGATAATTCTAAGGAGTTATACTGGTTATACTAAGTCCAATATTAATTGCGGATACAATCCACGATCATTGGGATCTTTTACTAAACCCAGCCCATATATCGTCCACTTTTTAATGGGATCAATTCCAACCATGACCACCAGCGGTCCATCTTTGGGTTTTTTGGGCGAAATGCCAGGCACCGGGTCTGCAGAGGACTTCGCAGACCTGGAGGTGCCACGCCCCATTTTTTGCGGAGATCCGGATATAAGTTAATGCAATATATAATAATATATATATATATTATATACATATATACATATATATATATGTTATATCTAAATATGTATCTAAACAGGCTTATATATGCTTATATTATATATCATATATCTATCTAAATTTCAGCTAGATCTGCTGATGCCACCCCAGTTGCCACATTTTTTTCGACCAACAGACTACTTACATCACGAAGAGTTGCCCTTATTTGTAGATATTTGTAGACACACTTGACTTTTGATGTTCACAAATGGGTCGAGGGGCGGCCGCCAGTAACACCTGCAGACCTGTGTTCAAAGCCCATCCGAGGTGCTGCTTTCAGATGTCGACCAGTTGAAGACATTGGATTCGGATCTTTTCGCCACTGTCCAGGAATTCAAAGCTGCGCGAAGCATCTGGGTGTGTCTGGAAATGGGGTATACCCCAACCATGGCATTAATCATCAAGCTTTGGGGTACATTTTTAGACACAGCCATCTCAAACCAGGCGTGTCACCGGTTGATTGGTGCTGTGAACTTGAAGATTTGTTGGGCCCCCGAGCCGGCCACACAAGCTTGATCCACGATGTTGGAATGTTTATCTGTTGCAAAAAAGGCGCAATCCAGTCTCTTTCTTTGTGTACATTAAGAATGTGGCGCCCATGAAAGTAGGCAGTTTCATGTCCAAATCATCTAGATCATCTAGGCTTTGCTCCCAATCATCGCCATCCACCAGCCATCAGTTCATCCTCGCATAGGACACCACAACCACCTCAAGCACCGCCACCTCGACCCAAACGACTTCATCGGCTCTTGAAGACTCCACTTCGAGGTGTGGAACGAGGGTCTGAGGCTTGGCAACTGTGTGGAGGGATCAAAACCTATGAAATTACCATTGGGGGAATCACCGAATCACCAAATCACCATCCATTCAGCGATTTTAGGGTACCATCCGGGTGCCAGGCCCACAACGTCCACGTTGGCCGCCTCTTCTTCGACCTTGTTTGGGATGCCCAGTTCTATCCGTCCCCAGACCTTAAACCATTTGGAGGAACTACAAACCGTATCCCAAGGATGGAATTTATTGATGTAAAAGACTATTAAAACAAATGGTTAAAGATTATTCCATTATCCCAATAACTATTGCATCAATATACATTTTAATAGACTATGAAAACTTAGAGTGAATGTCCTAACAGATTTCAAACGCCACCCCGTACTGAGCAAGATGGCTGCAATAGAAACCAACCGCAAATTGAAGATTCCAAGCCGTCCATGAAACATATTTGAACTGCAGTGGCCCGCAAATGGAAATTCCATCAAAGTGAGCGTGCTTCAAAACTTCAAAACAGTACTGTAAATAATTCCCCCCCTTTTCCACACCATTTTCCACGATTTCTACAGCTCCGACACCCAAGGACGGTCAGCAGCGGCAACGTGACCAGCACCGGCCCTGCGACCTCGACCGTCGCCACATCCGAGATGACCACGTGGACGACGACGACGAGTGCAGATGAGGGCAACGAGAGCGACGGGAGCGACGGGAGCAATGAGAGCAATGCGTCGATTGGAGAGAATCGTTGGGGGAGTGACCTGGGCTTATCCCAAGGAAAAGTTGGCTCACCCGAGGGGTAGCTGGGGCTTATCCCAAGCACGGGTTAACACCAACTGGGCAACCAAGTAAGCCAGAAGTAAGAGGGAAAGCACTTGATTTGCCAATAAATAGCTGGGGGCGTACAATTAACAACCTCTAAATGGCGCAGGAAGAACTGCGTAAGAACCGGTCAAAAGCTGTGATGTATCGGGAGGATGAACCCTGAAGTT